TTGTTTTTTTAAATAAAAAATATATTTGAGTTTATATTATAGTAAAAAGTATAATAAAATACTAATAATTAATAAAAATAACTTACAATCTAAAGATTAATTTTTTTTAAATAAAAATTTAGTTGAGTTTAAATTATAGTAAAAAGTATAATCAAATACTGATAAATAATAAAAATAACTTACTCTCTTTAGTAATATTTTGATTTTAAATAAAAAATTAAGATGAGTTTAAATTATAGAAAAACTATAATAAAATACTGATAATCAATAAAAATAACTTACTAACTATTATATTATTAATTTTTTAAATAAAAAATTTAGTTTAGTTTATATTATAGTAAAAAGTATAATTAAATACTGATAATTAATAAAAATAACTTACTAGCTATTACATTATTAATTTTTTAAATAAAAAATTTAGTTGAATTTAAATTAAAGTAAAAAGTATAATTAAATACTAATAATTAATAAATATAACTTACAATCTAAATATTTATTATTATTTTAAATAAAAATTTAGTTTAGTTTAAATTACAGTAAAAAGTATAATTAAATTCTAATCAATAAAAATAATTTACCCGCTTTGATGATATTTTTATTTTTAAATAAAAATTTAATTGAGTTTAAATTATAGTAAAAAGTATAATTAAATACTTATAATCAATAAAAATAACTTACAATCTAAAATTATAAATTATTTTTTTAAATAAAAAATTTAGAAGAATTTAAATTTTATTAAAATAAAAAGTATAATTGATGTATTAAAATATTAACTTTCTATAATATTAATAATAAAGTATATTAGCTTTTTTGATTGATATTGTAGTAATAATTGTAATTAATTTTATTAATAAACATAACTTACGTTCTATAAATAAAAATTTGGAGAGTTAAAATTATTATAAAAATTATAATTAAATATAACTACGTAAAAATAACTTACTAACTAAAATACCATTCCCATTAAAAGTTTTTTTAAAATAAATTAGTTATGTTTTAATTGCAATATAAAAAATTATAGATAACTTACTCCCTATAATATAATTAATCATTAGATATTTTTTATTAAAAAGTTTAACAAAAATTTAATTGTATTAAGATATATAAAAGTTAAATGGCTTACATTCTATGTATAAATAAAAATTAAATTAAATTTTATTTTAAAAATTAAAATATTATTTTTGACTAACGATAGAAAGATTATTCCTTACTATCCAATCCTTCTAATATTTTGAACAAAAATTGAATATAGTTAAATTATAATATTTGTTAAATACATATATTTGTTATTTTATTTATTGTATTTACCTTCATCATCACTCGGAACTAATTCTATATTTCAAATTTTAAATTAAATAAATTAAATAAAATATGATTAACGAATTGCAGTATTATAGTTATTATATTTAATTTTATTCATTACAATTTTCGTGGTATTGGTTAATTATTTATGTTTACCTTCACATGAAGCTGATTCTATGTTTATTTGATAAAATAGTGAATAAAAATGAGCAATGAATTATTATAATATTTAAATGTGGTTAATAATACATGGAATTACCGTTACCTTCTATTTCTTCTAATGAGGATACTTCCATAACATCCGAAAATGACTCTGTGAATTTGTGAAATAAATTTTTTTTTTTAGAAATCATCTAACCGTCAAATATACTCATTTCAGGCGTGCTAAGTTTTATTTCTGTTATTTTTGTTGGTGGAAAAATTTTTTTTTTGGCATTTCTATTAAACTTTTACCTTCATTGTCACTATCAGACATTGTTATTATTTTTAAAAGAAAGCTTTTTTTTTAAAAATTAAAAAAAAAAATTATTTTGTATAACGATAATGGTGATACATATTGTCATCTTACCGCAGTATTTGAGGCACAGCACTTTAATGTTACGGTAAATATTAAATTTTATCATAACTTCACTTAATTACTGTATTTTTTTTTTTTGAGAATTGTATTATGCAAGTTATTAATAATTACGAGGCGGCATAGCATGATGCATACTAAGTTAAGCAAATTTCCACCTTATAGTTAAAAAAAATAAATTTCAAATTTAGAAAATTTTAAATTATAAGTATTGCGTCTTAGCTACAAAATTTTTATTTCTTTATTTAATTGATATTTAATTTAATATTTTAACGGATATTTTTGTATTAATAACATGCTAAAAAATTAAGGCAAAACCTTTTATGTAATTTACGTCACTACAGTTTAACTATTATTAGTTGATATTTACAAAGTTAAGAGTCGTTAAAATAGATTATTCTAGTTCGTATACTCGAAAAATTATAACGTGCTTTCTGAACCAGAAAAGTTATAAATTTTCATTTCATATTGTGAAATAAATATACGGAATAAACATATATAAAGTCTCGATTTTTTATATTTTTGGTTAATATTAATTAATGATCTTTCGTCATTGTAGTAAAGTGACACCTGAAGATGGAGCTTTAACACCATAATATGCTGAAATTGTTGAAACAATTACCTTAATCAATATTTTGAACCATTTGGTAAAATTGGAAAGAAATCTGCGGCAGCTCAAGATGGTGAACAAGCCGAAATATGATGGAAATATACTGAAAAATTAATTAATTCTAAATTTCGTTAGCTTTACATTTATTATTTGTCATTATTTAAGATTAAGAAATTTATGCTAGCTCTAAGATTGTTGAATGTTTTAAAAATCAAATATTTACGAAATATGATTGGTTAGCATTTTATTTTTTTTTTAAAAAAAATAATTGAGCACTGGCCCAAAATTGAAAAACAGAAAATTATATTTTATAATAAGATCAATCAATAAACTTATTATGTGTATATTATAACATTGGCATTATTACTTTACTTGGTCTTTCATAATATATCATATAAAAAATAAATACTTGATTTCTTTAATTTATTTTTAAATTTTTAAATTATTTTATTAGGAGTGAACGAATAAAACAAATGTATTAAATCGAAAACATACGCTTCAATTTTGATAATTTTAATATCTAGTTTAATTTTCGATAGTTTCACAAATGATTTTGAAACCAAATTATCTTCTTTAAGAATTTTTATAAATTTTTTTTTTTACGACTGTATTAACTGTTTGAAACTCTTTATTACGTTAAAAACCATTTTATTAGATTATAGACACATTATACAATACATTACGTCCACATTTATAATATCGTTTATATCAACATGCACGCAACACTCTCCTTCCCAAATTATTGTATGGAACGTATGGCAGTTCTCATTAAGTGCTCCAGATGATATAAATATATTTAGTTTTAAATGACAACAATGGATATTATTTTAGATTCTAATCATGATTAAATTCATTGGAAATAAGAATTTCCGTTTAAATCAATGTTATACACAAATTCAAATAACTATAAAGTATCAAATTTTTTCCTCATCTCCATTGATGTTTAAATCTTCACACACTTATGATTTACTTGTTAAAATAAAAATACTTTTTTTTTCGAATATGAAATAATAATTATTATTATATTTTAGTATTGATGATTTGATGATCTATATATCCAGATAGTTTTTTTTTATCTTCGAAAAGTTTTCAAGGATTTGCGGATTAAGGATATTTATTGACACGTTATTTCAAATTTTTTTGTTTATACGCTAAAAAATACGTAAACTACTAAATTATGTTCACTCAAAGAAGTTGAAGGTTCTAAAAGAAAAAAATATGTTTTTTTTAACTTGAAATTCATTTTTGATTTATATAACATTATTAACGATGATTTTACAGTCAATAAAAGACTTTCATGAAGCGTGCCAATAATTGACGGAAACTAATATACATCTAAATTCTCTGGTTTACTAATTCGAATATACCGTTTATGATGTTTACTTAACTTATATTTTCTTTACACGTGCCAAAACGACTTATTAAAAGTTCATCCTTTATTAAAACATATAAAGTTTATATACTTACTGTAAAGAAAAACTAAATAGTAGTTGATTCTTATGTATGATCAGCTTTCTTTCAAACAAGGATCGTTTTGTATGAGGCCGAGGGTTAGGGTGAGGGTGAAGGCGAGGGCGAGGATGAGGGAGATAAATAATTTATTTGATAATTTTGATAAACTTTGTTATTCATCTAAAAAATGTTGATACAATCAATTTATATGATGGAAATTACTAAAAAAGGATGTCATACATGTAAAAAAAAAAATTTAGCACCGTTATATGTAAATAAAATAATAAAAAATCAACTTTTAAAATCAACTTAAAGCGCTCCAAGGAGAATTCATCACAGAAAATCAACTTAAACGGGTCAATTTCTTATAGTCTATTTGGATAACACAGAAAATTTCTTTATAAAGAATAAATTTTTTATTTGATAATTATAATTGATCCATTCCCACTTTGGGTGTAAACATTGCGACTTACATCAGTTACACAATTTGAATATGTTTTAATGTGAAATCTGTCATTTACAATTTAAATTGTCAAGTTAAACTCGAACCAATTAAATAAAGAACAATACTTTATTAATCTGTCATGTTCGAGTTTGAATTTTCATATCGATCGATCGGTAGCGATGATCAATTTTAGCGCGCAGTCAGAAGTTGAGTTACTGTATATCATGTATATCGTCGATGTTATAGTAATTAATATTAATGAAAAGTTATTGAATGATCAATTAGTACTTACAATGGCTCCGAAATTAATAATCTCAAAAGTAAAATAATACTAAAATAAGAAAATAAAATAATTAAATAAAATTAACCTAATTAACTCTTTAGGACTGCCGACGCTTGATCAAGAAACCTACTAGAAGGTGAGTATATTTTAGGAACTTTTCTTTTATAATTCAAAAGAAAATACTTGTCTTTGATCTAAACTGACCTAATTCACGATATTGAATGAACTTTAACAAGAAACTGTTAGAATTCGAGAGTGTATAAAAAGAATTTATTTTGGTAACCATCTTTTCCTGTGTTTGCATTTTTGGACCCTGACTTCAAAGTCAGACCTCTCATTCGACTATGGTTTTATTTTTCAAGAATTTCATGAACTTCATGATAGATTTTAAAAGTGACAGAATCGACCGATATTCGACTTCTACTATTTTATGAAGTATTTCCTCCAGCCTCTTTTCGCTGGGATTTAATGCTGCGTGGGGATCTTTCTTTAATTCGGCTATTTCCTCCTTTTGGGCTTTTACTTGTTTAATTAATGCTTGTTGGGGGTACTGTTTAAATTTTTTCGTTAATTTATAGATCGATCGCTTGTTAATCCCAAGAAACTCACTTGAGATCCTTTATTAAGCTTTTTGCATGCATCAATGACAAATTAATCTGTTCATCTTATGCAAAGAAATATTTTAAATTTAAATAGTTGTAAAAAGTCATTTTAATGAAATTATCCTTAAAATTTAAACTTTTTTTATAGTTGATAATGCACAATATTACAATACATCATATTTGTACGATAATAATCAAGTTCATAATAAATTTTTAAATAAACAATTAGTTTATGAATTCATTTAGAATTTAAACACGAGTTATATTTGACGTCACAAATCAAAACGGGAAAATCATTTTAGAGCAAAACAAACAGGTTGTCAACTAAATTCAACCGTTTGTTGTATGCAACCAAATTAAACCGGTTCAGATTTTTTAAAACCGGTTTCGGAAATCAAACCGATTCCAACCACCTAACTCTATATGAAACCGATTGAAAACTAAACGATTAGGTTCATAAATATTTTCTGAACTTTTTGTGTTATATACATATACATATATATAATTCAGAAAATTTTTTCTTTTTCTATTGCCATTTACAAATGACTAGTCTATGTTTCGGGCTAAACTAGATTGTCCATATATACAAAGAGTTTCCAAATTCCGGACAAATAAGGCGAACTGAAAATTCATTGTGCGAAAAAGTTTCATAATGGTTTCGCCCAAGTGATCGTTAAAAAAAGGGTATATTAAATTAATAAAGTATCACTAATCTAAAAAGATTATTTGTTTATGATTTTGTTGAAATAATAAGCAATAAAATACTTAATCCAGGCAAAAGTAGGTAGGCGAAGAACTAAAAATGTATAATTAATAAAAATTTTTACCACTAAGTTTTTAATAAAATTTTCATTAGTCAGATGCGTGCGTAAGAAATTATTATTATTTCAGCTATTTCGTAACTACAAATCCTACTATAGTTTTCATAGTTATTAATTAAATTAGGCAGAAATATTGTCTCTCTTTAAAATTCAAGCAAAGATTGATGACCTATTATAAAATGGTAATATAATTATTATTGACGGTTTGCATCGTTTCCCACTGCATTAGCTTGCGCGCGTAATACTCGTACGACATGAGAAAGTATTTCTAAGACTTTTTCTATATCTTTATCTTCCTTTGTGTCAAATTCCAGAGTTGTACTCTTTAGTAATTTCGATTTTTTGAGATCCTAATGGACCTGTCCATCGGACAAAACGCCATAAGACATCATTAATTACGATTCCGAATACTGTAGGTCTTTGTCAAAATCCGTTTGTTCTCGTTTTCGTTTACTCAAATTTGGTTTTTAGAATAGAGAAAAGGTCTGTATTCATCATTCAATTCAGGAGGGTTTCGGCAACCTACAAAGAGAT